GTAGCACTGCAGGTTCGGGGAAGACAACATTGGTCGAAATCGGATTTGCAGTATTTTGAGCATCTGGATGGACGGTCCAATTGCAACTACATCCTACGTGAGGGCCAACGCAACATTTCGGTATTTTCTTCTAATGATCTGGTTTTTCCTGTTTCCTCCGTCTCCGAAGTCCGACAGAAGAGTGTCATCTGCTGCGGCCTGAGAACGCATGGTCTAGCTGTCGGGTGTGTTTTCAAGGTGTTGGAGTGCGGTTTAGTTTGGGTCGTCCTGAAAGACCGAGGAATCAGTCCTCAGAGCACCTCACCCACTATGTCGCGCATCTTCGGTGCACAAGACGATACATTTAGTTTGTGGAAGCAGTTGTGAAATGCCAGAATACAAATGTATGGGCAGTCAGGGGGTACGGCAAAACAATGCTGTGGTACCACTCAGTCTCGTCACTCTTTTAGGTGTATCCAGTTCACCAGAGAGGTGGCTATCACCACAAGAATAGTATCTTATTCTTTAGACTTGGCGCTTTTGTAGTGGTCGGTGGATCACCTTGTTAATGCTACTACAAAGGAGTTCTGTACCACATTCAAACATTAGCTTGTGTATTTGGAACCTTATTCACAATGATTGAATTGTTTAAGATATTGGTATTCCATATCATTCATATCATTGAAATCAGTAGGTGATGTTGCAATCATGAAGATGAAGGGGGAGGATGTTTAAGTGATTGTTGTGGAGTATTGTTGACATGTCAAGTGTGTAATTGAAGGCTCTTACCACTACATCATTTTTATGATCATTTTGAAGTTCATCACTTCTTCAACAATAATTGGCATTTTTTTTTGGCTAGTATGTATGTTCAAGCGATGTGTTCTAAAGTTTTGTATATGTTTGTTGAAGGAGTATGGTGTTCTTTGTTCATTTTGTCTTGTAGATATGAGGGAGGGAGTACTGTTGCATGTCTGTTGAGTACAAGCATAGCCTTGGATGATTCATTTCATTAAAAGAAACTGCTATGTTTTATTTCCAAGGCTCCCAACTAAATCCAACTTTTTATTTTATTTTGTAGTGAATTAGATCATCTAGTTTTAATTGAAAATTCTACAAAGTTATGCATTGGGATTTTTAATGGAATCTTGTTAGAAGTTGTTGAAATATTTTTGTACAAGATAAAGTAGTAAAGTTTATGTGCATTAAATATAATTATAGATATATATATTTATGAGACATATAATAGAGCTCAAAAGCCTACTAATTGTTAGCACCATTACATTTCTAATTGTTTTGATATGTGCATGGAAAAATTGAGGAGGTATATAGCTATTAATATCATTTATAGAGCATATTCTTAATACCACATAATAAAATGATTTAAAGTTAGAAAAGTAGAAGATATATATATATATATATATATATATATAAAATTGTAACATGCCATTGAAAATTTATTGTGTATATATGTACATTATGCACACACAAGCTTTATCTTGTTTAGAATTTGTCAATAAAGTATCACAAAACTTGTTGGAAATAGGTGTCCACCTACAATCGCATATGAAAATGAGAGAAGTATGATATGTGGATATAATTTATTAATCGGACATGTAAGAATTGATAAGAAATGCAAGTTTTGTGGATAGATTGTTTTAGTTTTAATAACATTATTTTCTTAGTGCTAATTTAGTTATGATCTTATATTTCGGTTTTGTTTGTTTTATTTTTTGATTTTTTGATTTTTTTATATAAAAATTACCAGTCTTTAGATTGGACAAAACCACTAAGTTTTAAAGGCTTGATTGAAGTGCATTAGATTAGATATTTGAGTTCAAATTATTGTAAGTACCAAAGTCAAATTTATATTTTCATAGGATAGATATTTGGATTTTGGAATAGGTTTTTCATTTATTGCTAGAGTTAGAATTAAGCGCTTTCTAAAACAATGGCTAGATTTTGAACAAGAAAGTAATTATTTTTTTTTACTTAATTTTCTTTCACTCACATTTTTTAAATATTGGTAATTATTTTAGTCGGACCCTCTTTATAATTAGCATAAAAATTAAAGTTGATTGTTTATTTGAAACAATGTCTTTTGCATTGTGACTCTATAGATGTAAGTTAATTAGAATATTGAATAAACAAAAAATGAAGCATATTCAAGTTTAATAGGATTCTTCTATGTTGAACTATCTAATAGATTAAATTTAGCTTACATTTTTATATTCTATGATATATTTGTTACTACAATAACATGATATTTCTTTGGAAGTTGGTGGTTTGTTTTACAATTAGGAGTTCTTGATAACTTTGTTCTTTTGAACTTGTATGTCCTTGCAATACATTGATCTCCATACTTATTGGGCTATTGGCAACAATCAAGTGTACTTTTGTTTCCAATGTTGAGGATGTTATGTTGTTTGGAGTGTTATTTGTTTTCATAAGCTATAGCGTCTTTGAGCCCAAATGTAGGGGAGCTTCATCTTATAGGGCAATGTTGCTCTCACCTTCTAATCATATTACTATGGGCTATAGTGGATAATATTGTATTTAGAGTCTTTTGTGTGACCTTCTTCTATTCCTACATTGCAAGTGTTTTTATCAAACCACCTCAAGAATCATCTTGTTTTGATCAACATTTGATAACTTTGCATCTTGCAACACATTCTCTAGACCAATTGTACACCTAACTTGCATACTCAAGCAAGGCTCTTTAACCTCTAGAGTTGTGTCACAATAATTCAGTATGTTGATGGTAGTTGTAATCAGTGACGAGCTAATATTTGTCAGCAATGGTAGAAACATTTCTATTTTTTCTTTTGCTTTAATCTTCATTTACTTCTATAAAACTTTCTTGTCCTTGAAATTTTTTTCTCTCCTTGCCTTCTTTAATTTGGCAGTTCATTAATTCATAATATTAGCGTTGAAATTATCTCCTTCAAAGTGAACAACTCTTTAATAAAGATTTGAATGACTTACGATTTTCTTATTAAAATGACGACATCAAGCAATCTACCTTCTCCACTTTCTCTTTGATGAACCACTCAAACAAGATGGATGTGTTTGAGGTGTTCATCATGGTTTCTTGCTTTGCAATCTATCTTGTCTATTGGTCGTTGCCCTCAAGGTATGTTGCTTATGTAGATATTGTACGTTGTTTCTTGGCATTTTTTACATAGAGGCTTGTTACCTTCTTTAATCGCTAATGCCTAATCAATGGAATCCACATTGATTCTATGTTCTTATTAGTACACCCTAATGTAGTCTACATAAACCATTTAATCTATTTTTTCTATTAAACTTCCAACTTAATGTTTATCACTGCTACTTAAATAAAATAAAAATCCAACAAAAATAAAAATATGAGGTAAAATAACAAGAAAGATTAGGATTCAAGTATCACATATCTCCTTGTGTAAAAATATAGAATTGGTTTGGATAGGTCTATTCTACTTCCTCCATTGGCTCTTGGTTTCTACCCATTGAGGACATTGTCATTGTTCTACTAACCAACTTGTCTTATTTGATAGTTAACAAAATTCTTCTTCTTCATCTATGAATCCTACAACAAAGTTGTAACACACGAGTATCTCTGACAACTTAGGCTCAAGCCTCTTCTTTTGGCTAATTAAGACAATTTTTATTGTTTTGTTGCCATAGATGGTCACCAAGTTGTTGTTCCAATTTTGGTTAATCTTTACATCAATCAACCAAGGATAATCTAATAGCATATTATATGCCTCATTTACCTCTTTTTTCTTAATTACAATCAAAGTGATTAGGTAATAAATATCATGTATATAAATCTTTTCATTATAGATCATTTTAATTGATCCTTTTAGTGATCAAATTAACACTTGACTCACCATCAAACAACATGTTGTTCTAGGTCTTGTTGCCATCCTGCATTGATAATACATTTAGTTCTTGGTTAACATCTATTGCCAAATTAATCACTGTTTTTTCTTACCTAACAAACTTGCTTTAAACTTTGTTGTTTGCATTAGGTCTAAATTCAAACTTATATTAGTCTTTTATTTTAGAAATATATAAGCCTTGACATAATCCATAATATTTGAAGCCATATTTAGTAGTTGTGCAAGCAAGATAGTAATGGAATTGTTTAATATTTGTCTTCTTATCACCTTTATAAATTATTCCTTCTTATGTTTACTAAAACTTCTTTCTAAAGATTTTTCATATATTGGGTGGTTTGTCTTGATGGTATAGTTCAAAGCATCCAAGTTTGAGAATTATTTCTTGTAATTCTTCAAAAGTTCTTTTTTAAGAATATTTTCATGTATAGAACTTACTTGACTTAGAGCCTTTTCTTTTGCTTTCTATTCTTTAGCTTCCTTCAATTGATCCTTTTTGAGGGCTCCAATCATTAAATTTTTGATCTACTCTTCTATATTCCAATCTTAATATAGACCTTGTAAGATTTGTGCACCCTAATTTCTTCTTATATTAAACAAAAGTCATGCATTTTGGCACTGCACCCAAATTATATCAGCCATGTCTATTGGGTTTTTAGGCTCATCCAATCATTTGATTTCTACATTACTAACATAGTGATTTGATTTTTTGTTCTTTTACTCCATATTGATTAGAAATTGATTATATAAATGCATTTTTGAGAAATTCTACCATCTATCTCATGGTTTATGATACATGAATTATCCATTTGGTCTTAGACTGAATCCACTTGCATGATTTGTAACTTTGTGTAGATTAGGTGGTCTTAGACACTTGAGGTTTTAGTTACATGAATTCACTACTAGTTGTTAGAAATAAATCAGTAATGCTTGTCATTATGTGTGAGCTTCTTGCTTATATAGCAAAACTTTCTTGGTCCCTCTTATAGATTGGCTTGTTTAATAGATGTACTTCTAATCCTACTGGAAAATTCACTCTTTTACATCTTATGAATTAGGAAAATAACTCACTTGTGAATTTAGGACAAAAAATTTACTTGTGAATTTAGATACAAAAAATCTAGTGCCAAAAAAATATAATTTAGGATTAATTAGTGTAGAAAATCTTAGATAAATAGAAAGAATTGTATTGGTAGTAGAATTATGTCTTGCTGTATGAATACTAGTGTGAAATTATTGGATAATTATGATTTCTAGTTCTGGATAGTGCAAGAATTCCTTGTTGGTTTTAGGCTTTTTGTTCACCATCTGATTTTATAACTTACTTTACAATAAATAATGGGGGGGGGGGTGTTTGTTGTTTTCTATCTACTAAAAATGGTGGGAAGAAGTTAATAGGAGAAGTTGGGTTTTTTTGGGAAAGTGCAACCAAGGTGTTGGATGACAGTGTTGGCTGCATAGTTTCCAGCTCGGATGCATTCTGCCAAGTTTTTTCCAAACACTAGCTGGGCCATGAATCCTCCCACAAATGCATCCCCTGCAGCATTTGTGTCCACCAGCTTCTCCTTGGGCAATGACAGTACAGGGAACATCAACAGCTGACAACCCCCCGGAAATACCCCTGTAAGTCCTCATAATAATACACACAATTAATTAAAAAGTAGTAGTAATAATATTAAGTATGAAAATAAATCTATACCAGACATGTTATCATCATTTTGGTGAACAGGAAGGAGATCATGTTCAACCCATGTTGGAATACATGGGGTTTTAGCACCCCCCCCCCCCCCCATCTCCCCTGTTCCTTTAATTTTGGTTGAGTTTATAGATTGATTTCATTTATGGTATTACCTTGCCATTATCAGCAACAACCACAGGATCAACACCTTGAGTGATGACTACAATCCTTTTGTGGGTGCCGCAAATTTTGGGCAAGGCAGCCATCTTCAAAGCTATCCTTCCCAGATCTGTTGTACTCCACCCTTGCACCCTTCCAAATGCCTTGGCCTCTGCCTCATTCCCAAACATGTAGTCTACATATCTGCTTTGCACATGTTCCATAACCAGATCATATATAGTAAGAAAACAAGAATTTTCAAATTAAAAAACCATAAAATAAAACCTAACTAAAAATAAACTGTCAGCACTAACTCTGTCACTTTAACATCCCAAATCAATCACATATGTACCACCACCACACTTCTCCAACATATCCCTTCATTCAATTATATCATGAAATTTTATGATAAATAAAATTTTAAAAGTCCATGGATGTATAAAGATATGGTACGAATATTTTTATTATTATCATTTTATTACAATGTTATTTTGGATGCATGATTAAGTGCACATTACTAACGGGAAGGCTGCCATGAGAGGATCTTTAAAACGCTCACAAACAAATGAGGCAGACAAGTTCATCATAAAGGTCTGCCAAAGATTATTAAAAGCAATAAGTTAAGGCGTGATCACAACTTAAATGAATTATTTTTTTTCATTTTTTCTTGTTGGTAATTAAAATGTGAATATAGAAAGTAGTAATGATAACAATAATAACAACAATAACAACAACAATCTCAATGATCTTTTATTTACAAACAAGAAATTTAGACAAACAATTAAAAAAATAAAATCAGACATTATTTTGAAGAATCATCCATTTCTATCCTAAAAGCAAAATCAAAAATGTAATTCAAAACTTGAGTAATACTTTTCCTGTTGCTGCAGCATGCTTGGCAACAAGCATCAAAGATTCAGGAGATACAGTAAGAAAAAATCCAGCACTGTAGAAATATTGTGCCTTTTCAACTGCATATAAATTCACTTTTGCTGCTAAGTATGATTTGAGAATCATATTTTTTGCTGTGTATATATATATATATATATTCATGAAGATTTATATGAATACATACATAGTAAAATATACATGCAACTCACCTAATGCCCAAGTTTCTGATTTTCTCATATGCTCAATTTTGTACATTCCTGCAGCTGCCAAATATGCTACTAATGATCTAACAACAACCAAAAACAAAAAAAAAAAAAGAAGCAAAAAAACAAAAAAGAATCAAACCAAATGAAATCAAATAAGGAAATCTACATACTTAACTGTTTTAAATGCCAATACATTTCATTCTGCCATATCATTTATTATTTTCATTTTATTTTTATACTTTTATATTTCTGAAAGTTGAAAAAATCAATTATATAGTATTGACCTTTCATCACCTACAACAAGAACAGCACAAGAACCAGTTGCAGCACTAGGATCCTCATGATAGGCTACCTTCAACAATGTCATCACAAACATGAACAGATTTCAGTGCTTTTTTAATTGTAAGATTTTATTAATGAATACAATTCTTGAAATGATTTCCCAATGAAAAACACAAGTAACGGTTCTGAAATAGTATATGGTTATGTTAATTTATATTATAATGTGTAACTTACATTAACTCCTTCTAAAGTAATAAGTCTTTCCATCTTGTCTCCAAATTCATCTTTCCCAATCCCACCCACAAAAGTTGTTGCTTTTGATTTTTGCAACAGCCACTACATTCCACATTGCATAGCAGATCTTGTTATATCAATATCAAGAACTTTAAAAGCAAGAAAAATGAAAAATTAGCCTTGCACTGAATTTTATCTTACAATGATAATGAATAGCATGATTAAAAAATAAAAATCATGCTCAAAAGGTATGTGCTACAAAAAACTATAAATAAGTAAATAAATAAAAATATAAAGTTGAAATAAATATTGTACTTGTGCAATCCTGATTGAATTTTGAGTTGCACCTGCAGGAAAGTGTCAATTTTTTAACACATTGTTATGGACATTAAATCTTATGATTATAGAGTAAATTTTATGAATAACAGTATTTAGAAATTAAATAATCATCAATAATAATGTTGTATAATTGCTATGTGTTACCTCCAGGCACAAAACTTGTACTTGATTTTTGGGCCAATTCTTTGTACCTACATTTTAAAATCAAAGATATTCTTTAGAATTTCAATGATATATGAATATGTGTGTGAATATATATATATATATATATGTAGGTTCAACAGATGGTCAAACTAAAAGCTTCAAATGTTACAAATGCATTTGATATGTTCACATGCATCAGAATTTGTAATAAAATCAGAATCTGAAACTTGAGGTTTGCAACTTTGAGACATGTCAACTTGCATGAAATTTGATTATTGTGCAGAAATAGCACCAACACTTACATGTTCATGTGTTTTTCTTCAGCTAAAACTGCATTATTCAACTTCACTCCATATCTGTACTCAAAACATAATTTGAATCACAAATCAATATTCAAGTAATGTTTATGGAAATATTTTGTGTTGAAGTTAAAATTCAACAGCAATACTTTCAACCCCTGATAAATGTTAAGGAATTGCAATCTTTTAGATGAAATCCATTTCATAATAACCAGCTTTGTTGTTTGTCACTATTATCACCATAATTCATAAAATAACTAATTAATTTGAGAATATTATTTTGTGGTATAACATTGGTAACTTGATTGTCAAGGTGGAAGGAGCTAAAGATTTTGAATTTTGGAACACGATTCAAGGACTTGTAACAACAGAATCGGGACGTGCAATAGACTTTTAAAAATAAAGCTGCTCTATGTCATTTTTAAAAACCTAATTTTCTTTAGTTTTTTAATTGATTTGATGTTGTACTTGACATAAATAATAACAAAAAAATGTTCAGTTTTGATCAGTTCTGCTCCTCTACAGATATCATTTCACACCCACTTTAGAATGCTATCAATTTTAGGTATTAGATTGTACTATGAGACAAAAATACATTTAAAATATAGTTATTTAATCCAAACATAAGTGACCGTAAAACGGGGTGTAGCTTGAAAGACAGAAGACAGGCAACTTACTTAGCAAGGAATGCTTTGTCAACAACAGCAGATACATCGAGGAGAGGGTTGCCCATGCCAAACAGGACCCCCTCTGGCGGGTCCTCTCGTAATCTTCACAAACATTGCAACACAACAGGCACAAACCACCCATCAATATTGACAAGGTCACCGAGTTCAAAGGAGGTACCGGTATCAAAAATCCTTTCCTACAACCTAAATCTGCAATCCAACTTTACACGCACTCTTCCAAGCATGCTCTATTCTCAAGACCCTGACATATTCCTCATGCAGCTTAAGGTTTGCCTAACGTATCTTTTCCTCCTCTCGTGTACAGTTCTACACCACATTTGCTCTCCTTTGCAATTCTTGTCCTGTCTAGCAGTATTCCACCTTAAATGTACCTCTTAAATCAGATCAATCAGTAATCTCTATATGCCTATATATTGTATATAAATTCGGATTTCAATGGGAAAGATGTCATCCTGTATCAATAATCTTTTGGGTAGAGCAGCTTGCTGCACAGTTGCAAGAAAGAGGCTGCAAGATATCTGCAAAAATCGGAGTGGTCTTTTTCTGAGACATATAACTATTCAGTAAGAAAGCTGCCACCACGTGTTAAATTGATGGATTGGTGGCGATACCTTCTGCTGTTGCTGTGGCACAGCGTCATTGAATCGAGTAGTTCCAGTTGAAGTACTGAACATATGTGCCAAAAGTGATGAGCGACAGCAGATTAAGTGTCACGATTGTTGTTACAATCGAAGGGGAAAGGTCCTGTCTGCTCAACCAGCGTTATGGCTACTGATCGCCATTGTCAAGTCTTTTTTATGATGTTCACTTATATCGAAATTGATGGCAAACCGATCGCTAAATGCTTGAACAGTTCGGAGGCTATTGTAAAGAAGAACAAAAGAAGTAGTTGAGGGTCATAAGAATTTGGATTTAGAGTAATGAGAAGACTTCTGAATTGTTGTTCCACGCAGATAAGGTTGAAGAGCAGCAGGGAAAGAGAACGAAAGAGAAACCTTACATCCTAAGCCCTCACTACTTGGGACACAATGTCAATTATTCATGAATCTAAAATTAGGTCAGTGATCATCAAGTTGTCAAATTTACCACTGACATACAGTAGGATCCGAATACACTGCCCATGTTCCGAACCAAAACCGAAAACTCCGCTGCAGTCTAGACTAACCTCATTCTCCAACACTACCACGCCAATACTATACCACATTCGGATCAGGGTCATGGGGGAAGAGAGTCAAACTACACGGAATGTAAATGTTCACAATCAGAGGTGCGCAGTCTGCGAGAGGTGATGCGTCTCATGAAGCTGCCATCCCTATGAATTGTTTGTAATTCACAGATGAGAGGAGTTTACAAAAGTGCATGAGCAACAGAATGAGGTGTTCATGAAACTAAGGACCTGGCTTTACAAAAAAACTTACGGAGGCCTTGAGCTTGATGAATCGTTACGACAACCCGTTTGAAGTAGACTTCATTGAGTAAAAAAATTAGTCGAAAATAGTGAAAGAAATAAAGATAGAAATTCCAAATCTCTGCACCTTCTTGTATGACTTCTTAAGTTCGGATCTCACTTCAGAACTCAAGGGAGAAACGGAGCATCAAGCTGGACTATCCAAATTGTAAACAATTCGGGGTTTGTACCTCCGTGTTGAGGTTTTGAGAAGAGATATGATAGATGAGAATCCAATTCATTACTCCTTTTCAAGACAAGTCGAGAGCCAATTATCGAGTGATTAACTATCGAATAAAAGTTTACAATTGAACCTATGAAGAAGCCTAGCTAAACTGCGGAACGTTCAATAGTAGAAGAAACAGTGAATTCAAATCCTGGAAATTGAATCCAGGCTCAATAATACGAGGAAGCAATGTAAAACGATTCTTTTGAAGCAGCAGCAAAGAAGACGAAAGAGAAGAAACGTCGAAACAAAACACAAAATATTGCTTTTAAAATAAGGTTTCTCTTTGTTCGAGACCTACCCAAAACATCTCATGTTGTGGGAAGAGGTTGGGTCAAAGAGGAATGTAGGAGCTGGTGCTGAAACTTATCGCGCAGGAGCCTCCTCGTACAGCGGATGATGATGACACATTGAACCCCAACATTAATCGCCACCTGCTCTTGGTTGTATTATGGGATGACGACGATGCATGAGGAGAAATACGGGACAGAGTGGTAGAAATATTAGCCATGGCTCATCGAAAGGGTGGCATCTCTCGCAGCCTCATTAAACTGCTGCTGCAAACTACTTTGACGTCATATACTCGTTCTCTGTTATAACGGACTCCTGCATACTGTCACTAAGTTGAATAATATTCCATCAAATTATTAAGTTTGATTTCTGATTTATGAAAATTTTCTCGATCCTGCATGTACTTTCTAATGTATCATCATCTCATGGGCTTCATATCTTACTAGACTAAATATTCAACTACAAAATCCATGAAAAATTGGCTCGAGAATCATCTGCATGGCCATATTGAAAAATTCACGGATGGGCAGGGTAAAGGACGTGTTAATAAGGTTTACTTTTACAGAGCTTGGAAGAGAAGGAGTAACAGGAAGGGAACAGGGAATAAAAAGGAGTCGCAGGATGGAAATCCAGAATACCATCAAGCCCTAAATCTACATCTCAGAACCGACACATTTTCACAACAGGCTACAAATAACTGTTCACCTCTCACACAAATGACTATGGTAGAGTGAAAAAAAATATAGTGTGATGACCTTCCGTTTAAGACAAGATAGAAAAACTTGCGACAACTGGAAAGCTTAATATAACCTAATTTGAAATATGTCTAGACACCCAAGTCACTAAATTGCCCTGCAGAAAAGTTGCCAAGGATAGTATGTTACATAATATACTAATCTTAGAGTCAGCACACGATGGACTGGGACGAAAGGAATACACATGACCCGGTTGGATTTTGCTGAAGACCATACACATCTAGTTTTACTCGAACAAAACAATCATGCAAAGTAGAGAAGTTTGTGATTACCGAATGCTGAAGCAGCTCTGCTTTTGTATTCCTCCAAAGTCGCTCGGGAACTGTGCTGCCAGCTTTTTGCTCTATCGGAGTGGATTTCACAGCCACTCCATTATCTCCGCAGTGGCATGTGCGTATTGAGTGATCAAATTTCACCGACGCGAACCTGTCCTAACTAGATGCAACGGAGGAAAAAAGCTCGCCTAATTCGGAGGTACACAGAATTTTCCAAACAAAATAATCTGAAACGTGGTAAAGTGTCTGAAAAAATCATTGACCTTCCAGACTGCTACCTTCTTCGAAACTGGAACCGAAAAACCGAAACCCTCCGTCACTGGATAATATTGACTTTGGAGTAGTACCTGCTCTGCTTCCAGTAACGCATTGCACGCTTGCTCCTGTGATATTCTCTCCATGCGCCGTTAATGGGATAGGCCGGTCCGGGATACTGGGCAATGTCTGACAATTCTCCAAGATTCGCAAAGCGCTTGTCATGTTGGGCCTGCATGCTACCAGAGGATGTGCACACAACAGCGCAAGCATCACAAATCTCTCCATGTCCTCCGCCGGTCCTCGGAGTCCCATCCTCGCATCCAACACCTCGTTCCATTTCCCCGCCTTCACCAGAGCCCACGCCCAGTCAGTGATGAGGGTGAAGTCCCCAACTTCATTCAGCGCTTTGCGGCCACTGATGAGCTCCAGCAATACCACGCCAAAGCTGTACACATCGCTCTTCTCCGTCAACTGCCCATACATAGTGTACTCTGGTGCCACATACCCAAATGTTCCCGCAGCTCGAGTGGACACATGTGTCACACCTTCGGGAGTAAATCTCGCCAGCCCGAAGTCAGCAACACAGGCATTGTATTCAGCATCCAGCAGGATGTTGCTGCTCTTGATATCCCGGTGCAAAATGGCAGGTTGCAAGCCATGGTGCAGATAGTCGAGACCTCTAGCAACACCGATGGCAATTCTCTGCCGTGTGAGCCAATCTAAAGATGGCTTGCTGGGTTTTAAGACATCCTGGAGGCTCCCGTTTGGCAGGTAGTCCATGATGATCATGCGTTGGTGGCCCTCAACCACTCCTCTACTCGCCACACAGCATCCTCGCAGCACCACAAGGTTTCTATGGCGTACGCTGGAGATCATCTCCACTTCGTGCACGAAATCTTTGTCCCCTGCTGGTGAACAATTCTTGAATCTCTGCAGCCACAGACACAGAAGGAATGCTCCTACAATTTAAAGATGGCACCACTTTCACTAACCGAACTACACCTTAGCAACCCCAGATGGTAGATCAATTCTGATGCTGGAGTCATCCTGACTCAGATGAACTTGTAAAATGCAAAAAAAATATGGCACACCTTTATGGCAACTTCCACGCCGCTTGTCAAGACCCCTTTGTACACATTTCCATAAGCACCAGAGCCGAGAATCATCTCCCGTGAAAAGTTGCAAGTAGCAGCTTTGATTTCCTCAACGGTGAAGATGATAGACCCCTCCCCAGTTCGCATGGACCCTTCCAGGAGGTCAATATTCCTCTTTACCATAGCTTTCTCCTCAGCAAGCTTGCGACGGCGGTGCTTATAGTAGAAACTCAGTGCAACCGCAAAGCTCAATAGTGCGATGACTACGGTGCCCAATGCTATATAGATGTCCATCAAATTCCTACTGCCCTTGGAAATTGGGAAGATGGAGAACATACACGCCGCGGTATTGGGGTCAAGAGGCCCTGCTCTGTTGATCATGGCAGCCACATACATACTAGAATAATTCTGACACCCTCGTTTCACACCGCTGAGATTGAAGGCTTGCAAATCGGCCGTCAAGCTCGCCACCTGCTTGAAACACGCTTGGCAGTTCTTGTTTTGACGAGAATTCGCTTCTTCCAGAACTCCTGCACATCTCTGCTGCACCGAGCTGAAGGAAACGTACTGGGAGGCGATTGTTGCAAAATCAGAGGATCGTTGAATACCTTGGCAATTGTCTGTTCCCCTAGACAAAATGGAGGGCAACTCATCTTCGCATCTGGTGACATTAACATCAGCTCCCAGATAGATAAGATGCGCCCTGTAGCCTTGGAGACAGGCTGGAACAACCTCAGGAGGCAGCTGAAAGAAGGAGGTGTTGCGGAGATAGGCTGCAAGCAACATCTCTAAGCCATTCAGGAGAATCACGCATTGACTGCCAGTATCCCGAGCTTGCTCTGCCACCGTCGGGAACTTGTCCAGCACGGTGAAGTCCAGCGGACACTCGAGGGTTCCTGGTTGCTGACCAAATGCACCCGCAGAGATCAAGACCATCGCAACCAGCTTCCTCCAGACCCATAGCCAAGTCCCTGGCTTAATTGCCATAAGGCCTAGATTCGCCCACTGGCGCGATTTCTTCAGCATAGGATTGCGGAGTAAGGCAAGGAATGTCACTAGAATCGATGCTACTTCTCAACTTACCCTGCTCGTCCAAGTTTTACTCAAAAGGAGCCTGCCGTAGAACCTGACCAACCTTCAGGGTTGCATCCACGATGCTCATCCTAAACGTCACAGCATCATTGTAGTACCTGCTAAAGAAAAATACCCTAAACTTGTGTGCATATTGAAGTGATGTAAACACATTCCAATATTTAAGCAGCTCTCATTTTGCTTAAATTTGATATTATCAACTTCACACTGGTTTATTTCAACTGAATATAGATGCACCAGGACAGGGAACAAGCTTTCTGTCACCTGCCTTTGATCACCTGCAGCAATCACAGGATGCACTGTCCATTTGCAGTGAGCAGAGGAAATGGGGGAGGAAGGAGCAGTAGGCGGTCTACAGTCACAGCCCACATCCTAGGGAGCATTGCTATGGATTACCGAAATTGATGTTGCTGAATCATCTATGCAAGAGCACAAGAGTTCACTTGCATGTACAAAAATCAAATTCAGCCTGGTCTTTAGAGCTAAGGGATAAATTCCCATGCAGACTTCTCTCACTCTCCCAATCTGACACCCTGCTCATACGATGAATACCACCAGCAATGAAATCAACAACACATCAGGAAGAAATTTACGTACATCTAAAAAATGGTTTGATTTTATTTTTTTATTTCTGTCTTGCCACTTGTCTTGGTTGTATTTTCACATTTTCAGAGTTCTAATTTTTGGTTTGAGGTTTCACACAAGAGTTATATTCTGTGGTTTTGAAAGTAATTTGAAGAATTTCCTTAACAGAGAGTGAAAACCTCCTCATGCTAAGAAGTTCAGGAATTGCAGAAATGATTCTCATCAGCAAGCTCAGACGAAGGGACACATGAATCAAGACAAGAGACTGATGGCATAATAATAGTGGATGCAATGGGTGGAGGGCTTGGGCTAGAATGCACTCTTCTTGGAATGGAGCCTGCCCCAGGCAATGGTAGGCTCCACCATGGTCAATTTTGGGAAGATAGAAGGATGCAATTTTGACTCTTGTTACCTTCAGTTGAACTTAATGTCAAGTCATCTGTTTACTTAGAGGTACACTAAGAGAACAAGAACAAGAACCTAAATGAAAACCAGATAGACAATATAACAAGCTGAGAACAAAACTGCCAGGTGGCAGGCTCCACCCCACAACTTTATTCATTCAAGCCCAGGCTACAGATGGTGCACATGTTCAGATTTGTATGCAATTAAAGTGTCTGGAAAAAAGAAGAAGTAGGTAAGCATGGTATCACCAAGGGCTTGCAGTGACAAAGGTACATTGTAATGGTTGCTGATGACACTCTCAAATGTACATCAAATGAATACCTGTACACTCACCAACCTTAACAGTCACATTTTCACAATTCCAAACATTTTATTTTAAATCTTCAAGCTTATTTCAATCAGCAGGTAAAATTTTAACCATCAAACCTTGGTTACCTTGAAGATCCTACAAACAAATTCTTTCAGGTCAATCTACCATTACTTTCTCTCTGCCTCTGCAAATGGGAAAAGATGCTGTCTTGCCATGGGTACAAGTGTGGCCTTTGAATAATTTAGTTACCATATGGTCTCACATTTGGTTCTGTCTGTAAAGTACAAAAGGGTTGCTGTTTACCATGAACATCAACAATTTTTGTCTGTTTCTAGTATAACTATTAATTCTTTTGAATTAGAACTGGACCTGGGAGATTCACTGCTTTTGACCTCCTGTAGTGTCACCTCAGAACCATCATATCCTCCACATCCAATAAGGATCTTTAATTTCGGATACCCCTGTTTACTATCGTACCACATCACAAATTCAAAGAAGTGTTGCAATTCAATGCACAATCAAATCACAGCTTATGTGCCATATGTATGCATTTGTATGCATTTGTCCTCATTCGATCCCATGTCACATAAATGGCTGAAAGTGTATAGTTTTATATCACTTGTGTAAAAATGGAACTAAATACAATGTTTCTTTTTAGAGTGCCTTGTGATTACAGAGTTACTTCAACAATCCTTTTTCATGCACAAAATTTGGATGGCATCAAATGCAATAAACCATAATCAGTGGAACTTGATTGTTTGAACATTCCACCCAATTAACAAATGGTTTTGATTACTCTGAAATGCTAGCACAATTTCTTTTTGAACTAAGTTTTCAGAGAAGGTTTTAGTGCAATTCATTGCAACAAAACAAGATAAGCTAAAGAGAATACTATTTTCAAAGAAAATCATGCCCAAAAAATGTTGTAGAAATTATCTCAAAAAATAAGAAAATTGAAAATTTTAATGTCTTAACTTGTAATTGCAAGAATGGCTTCAACCACAACAAATGCAGCTCACCTGCACGCATGCCTAACATTATTAGTTCTATAGTTTTCATGGTGTCAACATCATCCTTGTTAACAAGAAAATTGTGTACATTGAGCGGTTTCTAGTTATCTTTGAAGTGAATTTCAATTATCTAATGGTTTTATTCTTTTACTTTATTACCTTTAAATTATCATAATTTTTTCATAGTAACTTGGATTTACTTGTTTTTTATGTAATTAGAAAGTTAAGATAATTTCATATTCAGAAATGAACTTTTGGCTTTTATTTTTAATTATTTATCAAGTGAAAATCTCAAAAACATATTGTAATTTGTTTTGGAGAGTGTATTTCTTTAATTGTACTTCTTTTATTTATTTATTTTTTCTTCTCTCTTCTTTAGTTCTTGTTAATTGTGCTTTTTAATTCACACTATCAATTATAAGAAACTTTTAATTGAGGTTCCTTTATAAATTGAGTCAAAAGGTGAATTTTTACTCTCATATTATTTCACAAATATCTTTTGAATATTTTTAACTAAAAATCTACATTGTTCTATAAGACATAGTTCTTTTAGCTAGTAAAAAGATCTAGATTTTATTAGAAAAAAATTAGTCTACATCTATTCCATTATAAACATGTCTTATCTATTGTATTGTATTGATCCTTTGTTTGACAAACAAATCATTTGCCTTGCTTGTGGTGTTACCATGACTAGCAATTTCTATACACCCAAGAGAAAAAATGAAAGGAATTCTAATTATCAAAGGGATTTCTTAAGGAGCATGTACTTGAATGACCCTTTGGTATCACCCACCTCCAAACTGCTTGCAATGCTGCCTTCTTGGATTCACATTAATAGAGTATTGCCTATTCTGCAGACTGATGGAGTAACCAACAGCTGCAGCTCTTTGGAACAATTTGAAATTGACTTGAATGCTTCAGGCTAGGCTCTGTGAAGTACATGATTGGGAGCCACATTAAAGACATAGATTTAGAGCAATATAGTAACATTAGTTTCAGCTTTGACACCAAAATTCTGATTGAGAAAAGTCCACCTTCAACAAATAAAAGAAGCATAGATTATGTCTTGTTAAAATATATATATATATATATATATATGTATATATTTATATATCTAAGATTTTTTTTTTTTTTTTTTTTTTTTTTTTATATATATATATAAATCTCATTCAAAAATTTGATAGACTTACTGTGAATTGGAATATGTGAAGTTCTTTCAACACCTTTGTAATTTTTTTTGATGTAATACTTTTGTAACAATTCTTCCAACCATATCAAAGTCTGTTGTTTTAGATTTTAAATTTATTTCCCTTATCAAGTTGAGCGGGTCAATAAACCAGGGACACTATTGAAATGAAAATTTTGAAGTAATTTTCTCAAAATATTGTTGAAATATTTTTGTGATACTTATCTCAATTCAAAATTTCAAAATTTCAAAATACATATTAATATGGCATAATTGAATTGAAAGTGTTCAAGTTCTTTCAACACCTTTGTCACTTTTTGAAAAAATATTGCTGAAATGCTTCTCTAACACTTCTTTCAACTCAAAATTGTGAAATTTTATGAAATTAGAACATCTGTGAAAGCAAGCTTTTGACTGAACTCTATTCCACCTAATGGTATAATGTATCAATTTTTTTAGTTTATAACATATATATATAACATTCTTATTTATTATATGAATATAAAAGAATAAATAATTTAATAAATATAAAAATAAATCTTGTATTATAAAAACTTAAAGACCAATACTTTTATATAAAATGACAATTTGTATACTTTTCATAGTTCAAGAAGAGTTTTTTGAGAATTCATTTCAAATGATAATTTTGAAATGAATAATTTGAAGGTGCAAACTATCATAGATTAAAAAAATTCTAATATTATATTAATTTATTTTTAAAATAACATCATCATCTAAAAGATATTTTTAGATATAGTCATATTTTATATTAATCACAAGAACCTCGTGTATTTTTCATCATTATGCATCTTGAATCTTTGCCAATACAATTGAAACATATTTTTATTATAATTTGTACTAAATATTATACATCACATTAGGAAAAAACCAAGCTTTGAAACCAAACTGACCCTTTTACTGCAAAATTCTACTTTCTTAATCAAATATCCTTTATTCTAAATTTTATTCAAATAATATAAATATAAATTTAAAATATAATTTTGACCCTTCAATCCTATATCTAATCTTTAGATTATAAATCCTATGCAATATAGGGCTCTATGTGCATATAAATTAAAGCCTTGTAAAAACAATTGATTTATTATTTAGGTTGTGGGTATGTAATTGATCTTACTTAGATTTTATCATGTCAAAATTTCAAAGCTCTTTAATTTTAGTAGTTTGTTTTTGCAAGTGAAGAATTTGTTGCTAAGTATTTTGATTATTTTTCCCGGATTCTACAAGTGACAAGGTTTTTCTTAGTTTCTTCTGCTCATGCACAATGTTCAATTAGGAAATTACTCTGCAACTAAACTAACCGTAATAATTTCCTTTCTCTCTTACTACGTGCATGTGAAAACGAGGTTTGATTTACAATTCTGTGCGTGCATGAAGGAAGGAAGTCGAGAGAGAGCTCCGCAGGGTAGTGGTATTTGTCCACCATTCGGCTCTGCCTCGACCGCTGTTGAGGATTGATTGTATTCCGTCGAAAAACAGACTTTTCGTAGGTACCACGATAGGAACTTGGTAGGGTTGAGGGAACCTGCTCCGAAGAAGTCCACCTTTCGGGTTTCCCATTCTAGAAGCTCCCTATGTTCTAAACCCTGGGACCCAGCTCCGTATCCTTGAGATTCAGGGTTCGTTTACATTATTGATGATTCCTGTTGTTGTTGTTGCTTTAGTTGACTGATTGCATTGTCGCTCTTGTCCTTGTTTCTGTTCCAACCTTGAACGTTCTTATCTTGCTAACGATTATTCCGTAGAGACAAATCTCAATATTTTCGGAGGAAGATGAGTGGGGCGAATCCGCCAGCGGTGACGCTCTTGCAGAATATCGCGAGGGCGGCCATCGCATTGGGAGCGGGCGGGAGTTTGCTCAACACCTCGCTCTACACGGTTGATGGAGGACATCGGGCAGTTCTCTTTGACAGGTTTCGAGGGGTGTTGGACGAGACTGCCAGCGAAGGCACGCATTTTTTGATTCCTATCTTGCAAAAGCCCTATATTTTTGATGTTAGAACCCGACCTAGAAATATCACCACCGTTACGGGCACCAAGGATTTACAGATGGTGAATCTTACTCTTCGTGTATTATCGAAGCCAGATCCAGAGAGATTGCCCACTATTTTCAAAACCCTAGGTACTGATTATGATGATCGAGTGCTCCCCTCCATTGGCAATGAGGTTCTCAAGGCCGTCGTGGCGCAGTTCAATGCGGACCAGCTTCTCACAGAGCGGCCGTATGTATCGGCGCTAGTGCGAGATGCTCTTATTAAGAGAGCCAAGGACTTTAATCTTCTTTTGGATGATGTGGCGATCACTCATTTGTCTTATGGAGCGGAATTTTCACGGGCTGTGGAGCAGAAGCAAGTTGCTCAGCAAGAGGCAGAACGATCGAAGTTTATCGTGATGAAGGCCGACCAGGAGCGGCGCGCTGCTATTGTTCGAGCTGAGGGAGAGAGTGAGGCTGCGAAGCTTATCTCTGATGCGACAGCGAGTGCTGGAGGAGGCCTTATCGAGCTTCGTCGAATCGAAGCGTCTAGAGAAATTGCGGCTACTCTTGCTAAGAGTCGGAACGTAGTATATCTGCCCTCAGGGAATAATATGCTTTTGGGCATTAACCCGTCCATTTCAAATAGCTCATGATAGTCAGGTTTTCTCTACAGTATTTCTATGACCTTCGCTGAGTTTAATCTTTGACTATCAGGGAGAAGTTTGTTTTAGAATGTGGAAGCAATTGCTCAATTTTGTTGATGCAGGAGGAGAAACAAATTCATGTTCATTCGTTACGCATTGGGTTAGTCCTCGTAATGAAGCGGAAGCGCCTTCGAAGTCTGAGTAATTCGCACGAGAGAACACGCGGATTGGTCGGTACTTAAATACGATTAGCTCATGAGCAGTATACCTTACTGCTATTACGTCCTTAAATAAATTAAGTTGAGTTGGAATCGCCGAAGTCTCTTTGCAATCATATGATGAATGTTACACATGACAAATTAGTATTCTAGGTCTTCCGATTAAATTAAATTAAATTAAATTCCACGCTTTGTGCATGTCTCCTCTGTTTGATTACTTCGCTTGTGTATTCTGAGTCTTGTACATAAAATTTTGAGTTAGTGATCTCACAGTAGTACACTGTACAATGAAAGTGCCCGGATGGGTTTGTTGTGAGCTACTGATAGCGATTTGAACACTTGTGGTGATCGAAACCACAGCAGCATTGACAGCATTCACACCAGAAGTAATTTAACGATGTTTATGATGTAATGACGTTTATTTATACTTTTGATTTTTTTTTTTTAAATTTTCATTTTTACTTTTTGATTTTTGAATCCTTCGATACCACAAATAGTGGCAGCTTTCAGGTTAAATAAAGACCTAGGATTTTGGTTTTGTAATATTCATTTTCCAGCTCATTTCATCACATATCTAAAATTGGTTCTTACGATAATTGAGTTGATGCTGTATTTTATCCTATTACCAATGGAGACAGGAACATGTGAAAAAAATTAATAAAAAAAAATAAGTCATAAGCATAGTTGAAAACCTTCTTCAAAACCTCTCCAATTTCATATATAGTTTAGCTCAATAAACCATAAATACGTCTCATTTTTCTATCTTGTATAAATGATGTGTTGTAGATATAAAGTTGTACATAAGTTAGGTCAATACCTTTTTTTGATAATAATGCTTCCGCTAAATGGTACAACTCTCTTTGTACTTCGAAATTGTATGGAGCATTTTCCTGAAATATAAATTGATTAATATTTGCACCTAAGGATGTAAACACATGTGTAGCATTGTATTAACAAATATTTTCTCAAAACTGCTTTTGTATCTTGTCATAGATACAATATATATGAGACCAAACAAAAAATTGAACAAATATCAAGGACATGAATTTTGAGGAAACAAAATCTCAATACATTCTTGTGTCACTCAAAAAGACTTAAAAATCACTCAAAGTTGATATAGTATTAAACAAGAATGGCTATTGTCAAAGACAAAAAGACTAAAAAGACTTGAAACAAGACTAATGACTAAAAAAGCATTGACAAGAGTGAAGAAGGCTTCACTCTTGCCTCCATATATACTCTTAATTAGGAGCTATATAGCAATGTTCTATAAGACCTCTAGAACATGTTGACTTTGTAAGATACATATCTAAACTTGCAAGGCAAATTTCTTATATGTGTGCCACATAATTAGCTTATTCTGCAAACTACCAACAAGTGATTAATTTATTTAATCAAATTTTTAACCTACCAATCAATTATAAACATATTTAAAGTCAAAGCAGCATCTATGAAGCTTCTAAAACGCTTTTCTAAAAAATATTATGAAATAAATCTATTTTTATTTATTTTTATTTAATCCTATGAATAAATATTCAAATAAATATGTATGTCTGTAATATTATCCTTCTTTCTAGAGAAGAGTTCTATGAAGAGTGGTTATCATATGTCGAAAAAATCTAAGATGCAACAAATTATCTTTGCTTCATATTCTAATATTTATTCTCTTTCAAGATGATTGATAGGTCCTCTCAACTATCAATAGTGTTTTAAACTAAGGCAAAAAACAACCCTATTGTTTGATTGTTGTTGAGGCCTTCATAACTCTTTTCAAATAAAACATTTAGAACAACAGTAGGAGTCGTTTCCACCTCTAAAATCACCAAACATTAGGAGTCTATTTGAAGGTCATGATATCAAATACATTATATCTTGCCATCTATTCAAAGAAAGACATATTGTTCTTGAGAATCTTTATTTCGATTATGTCATCTTAAAGATTGTGACAATTGTAATGTTTCATCTAATAAGTCAATAAGTGATAGTTCTTGAATTGAATTTGTTAGTTATTGGTTCTCCATCTCTTTAGCATCACAAATGTACAAAAGTACTAAATAAGAATATGAAGTAGAATGCTATCTTTCTTGGATCTTATTTTTTTTTATAATAAAGAATTGCTATTCTTCATCTTTGTTTTAATAGATATCATTGATAAAAAAACCTCAACTTTTTTTTTGTTGTATTTATAAGATTCTTTGTTGGCTCCCATATACATTCACTAATATTATATTTGTGCCAATAAAGAAGGTATTCTAACCTATTTTGGCACTGCCTTGAATCTAAAACTTCTTCTATCTCAAATTCTTGATAACTATCTATTTTTATAATAAGAAGTGGCATTTATCTTTTTTTCAAGATATTCATTGTCTTATATGATTCAAGAAGAGATATATGAAATATGGGATGGATCTTCATAGACTCTAATAGATATAATCAATAAGTAATATAATTGATTTATTCACTAATAAAAAAAGGTCCAAGCTTAAAATACTCCAACTTGTTTTAAGGACAAGTAATCTTGATATTGTAACAAAGTAGCCATATGTTGTCATCCACATTGAATTGTGATTGTTCTTTGCAATAGACATTTGTATTGATCTTTTATCATTCTTGAGCTTCTTTTAATTTTGCTTTTATTTTTGCATGTAGTTTTGATAAATGATTTGTCAAATCTTTTGCTCCAAGAGTATCAACTTTTAAAAATTTAAAAGTATCAAGTTGTCGATGATAACTATAATTGACAAAAAAAAGTATTTATTGAGTAGAAGAATATATTAAATTATTGTACACAAACTTTGTTAATGGCAAAAGAGTTGTCTAATCATCTTCATGATAATTAATGATACACCTCAAATACTACTTCAAAATTTGATTCATCTATTTTGTTTGTCCATCAATTTGAAGATAAAAAATCAAAAAGAGCTTTATATTCACCTTTAAAATCTTAAAAATGATTTTTCAAAATCTTGATATAAATTGAGTGTCCTTATCTAATATGATTTCTTTGGACAATCCATGATAGTGATAGATATTGCTAAGAAAAAACTTAGCCAATTTTTTATTCATGATAGATTTTGCATATAGTATAAAATATGCCATCTTGATAAAATGATCTATTATCATGAATATAATATTACACAAACTTAAGATAGGAAGATCCATGATAAAATTCATAGAAACAAAAGACCATGATTGATTCGGAATAAGTAATGGCTGAAAAAGTCTGTAAGATTAATGACAAGGAGTTTTGGATCTTGAACAAATATTACATGATTGTATAAAGTCTTTGATTATCTTCTACATTTGAAGCCACCAAAAATCTCTAAATATTAGCTCTAAAATCTTTGACTATTGAAAAGTCATGATGAACTTATAGAACACATAATTGTGCTTTGTCTTTTGAAATGTATAATCATCCCTTGAAATAGAGTAGATTTTTTTTATACTCAAACTTGGAAATATCATGAGTCTTAAAAGAATTATTCTTGATATCATGAATACAAGGATCAGAAGACATACTTGATTGAATTTATTTGAGAAAGGTTGAATCAATAATCAATGTTGATTTTATTGCTCAAAGATAAAAAAATACTTTGACTTCAAGAAAATTATTTTTTATTAATCAAAAGTTGCATCTCCTTCTTTTGGTGCAAGATAAAAATATCTAAAAAAGACATGTGATAAACCTTGTTGTTTTTTAGATCTATAGATAATCTTGAAATCAAATCTTCATAAAGATATATTCTAACATACTTGGCGATGATTCAAAATATGTGTCAACATGAATCACTGAAAGTTCTTGTAATCTATATATATAATAATAGAATAAAAAGAAATCAAATGAATCTTATCATTTACTTCCATTTTTGATGAGATGACATTTATAGAAAAGTTTTATGTATTTATTTTCATGGAAAATGCTTTAGAAAAATTAATGTAATATAAAATTAGTAAAAAAATAAATATTATTTTCATGAAAAATGCTTTGGAAAAATTGACGCAATATAAAATTAGTACAAAAATGAATGTTATTTTCAAGGCTTCAAAAGATGTTTTAGTTTCTTTGCTCGATTCAAGTTTATCTTTACAAGTCAAACATATAAGAAGAACTACAACTTTAAAAAAAATCTTGATGAAGATTCAATAATAATTGACAAATCTCAAAAAATATTGCACATCTTTGACTGTTTTTAGGACCTTCTAATCTATGATAGTTTGGACCTTCTTAAGATCCATCATTAATCCTTAATTGGAAATAATGTATCCTAAAAAATAAACTTGAGTAGTATAGAATATACACTTTTTCATCTTTGTATATAATCTTGCATTTCTAAGTTTTTATAATATATGACCAATATAAAATTCATATTCTTTTGTGTTTTTAGAGTAGATTAGAATATCATCTAAATAACAAACTACAAAATCATCAAAGAACTCACAAAAGATATCATTCATGTGATGTTGAAAAGTAGCTAGTATATTTGTGAATCCAAAAGGCATGATATTATATTCATAATATCCATATGTAATTTGAAAAGTAGTCTTCAATTTATTTCTTTCTTTGATGTAAATCAGATTATATGCTCCTTGTAGATCTATTTTTGTATAGATCTTTGCTTGATTAAGTTGATTAAAAAGTCCTAAAATCAAAGGTAGGGAATACTTATTCTTGATGGTGATCTTATTAAGACTTTAATAATCTATGCACATTCACAAAGATTCATTTTTTTTTTTTTTTTTTTTTTTTTTTACAAATAAGATAGGAGCTCTTATTAGATATTTTGAATGGTGTATGAAGTTCTTAGCCAAGTTCTCATCAATATATTCCTTTAGTGCAACCAATTCATTTTGCCATAAGTTATAGATTAGTTCGAATGGTAGTTGAGTTCCTTCTTATAGATCAATTGAACAATCATATGATTAATGCTTTGAAAGAATATCTCCATTTTTATTTTCAAAAATATCCCAAAAAACTTAATATTGACTAAAAATATTATTTGACATCTTTTTATTATCAAAAATAGATATGGCATATATAGCAAAAGATGATCTTTCTTTCGCCACATGCTTGAAAACTCTTATACCTACTAAAAAGAGTTTGGATGTACTAAGCTTATCTATTTCTACTTTACTATTGAAATTTTGGATTAAACTATAAGAAAAGTTAAGTTTATAAAAAATCCAA